TTTGTTATAGAATTTCCATTGTTATCATGAACTTTAGATATTGCGTCTGTCAATGTTTGCCGTTATCATATTTTTAATCTAAAAGTAGTCACACTAAAGAGGAGTGTCAATTTGTAAGTTAAGTGTATTTGATAAGCTAAGATGGACGACTTTTAACATTTTAGGAAAGAGAAACTTGTGCAAAAAAGTAATAGTTTAATCCAGTTTATGACTTCGTTATTTTAAAACATATTTTGTTTCTCGACATAGTTTTATATATCAATAAATCAAGGTTATTTTTAAAATAAAACAACCAGAAATTAAGGAGCAGGACTTGATTCAAGCGAGAAAACTGATTGGAAACTTGACAAATTGGCTTCCGAGCCATGAATATTTACAACACCGGCAATTTTTTTCTAATGGTAAGTGGGTTTGTATATTGTTTTTTTATATCCCTAAATACGCCCATTCCTTAATGCAATGTTGATCGCACACTCTGTTTTAGGCGTCAGCTTCCTAGCTCTATATTTAACTAAGTTTATGCAGATATAAACTAGTCATGTGCATATTTTGAGATTTGTCAAGTCGGATTTTCTACTCAATTAGTCATGTCTTTGAAGTTTTGAAGTTCACGAAACAAGGCAAAATGGATATCTGGCAATACTGTGTAAACATTTATATAAGTTTCAATACACAAAAGTATCTTATTCAAGCGCGTTATGGTTGCAAAATCTTCAAACATATCTGGTTGCAAACTTATTCTTATTATTTGTCAGTCAAACTTATGCGTCAATATCATTTTTTTATTATTGCATGGACAGAACTATCTTGTAATGAAAAAAAATCCTAATATTATGGTATTTTTGGTATTTAGTGCTATAATAATCAAATATAATGCTAATGGATTTTTTTAAACGTGTAGATTCTGGTTAAAATTTGAAGAAAATTCCACAAAATGTTGGAAAAGTACATTCTGTATCACGTATTTTGCATTTTATTTGAATATTGAAAGTAACATTGACAAAACTTAAAAAAAGGAGATCTGAAAAAAATTTACTTCTTGGAAAATAAAAATAGAAAAATTTATTTTATGCTTTTCAGTGGATTACTGATTTATCCGTGAAAATTATATTTGATAATTTCACAGTGAAAATTATCAAAATATAATTTCACTTTTTTCAATGACGAAACTACTTTTTTAAGATTTTCCCCATGTGGTACCTCAATTTTATTTTTACTGACAATTCTGACAATATCAGGCTGTTAAAAAAATAGCAAAGCTGAAATAGATAAATAACTTATATGTATAAAGTAATAAAGAGAGAAAACTTACTTCTATTCCTTCAAATTCCAATCACAAAATTTCGTCTCTAAATTTTTTTGTTTCGTTTTTACAGTCTGAAAAATAATCTCCTTCCCCATGCAAAACTGCTCTTGATGACATTTGGGCATATTAAAGTATCCTACGAGCAATAACTGCCGTATGCTTTATGAAAAATTGAAAAGCATTGACAGCTATCACTCGTAAAATAAGTAAAACAACCCGGCCAGCGTTCCTTACAATGCCTTAGCAAGCTTCCAAGTTTTCCATTTTCCTAGTTCCTTTTCTGAATGTTTTCACTTCTGTCAACACTTATTTTTTGTCTGTTACAATCCTAAATATGTTTTCTTTCTTTTAAAAAGGTGTATGACTAACAAATCCAAATGATATCCCTCTGAATCAAACACAATTATTTTCCTCCCGTGAAATACACAACTTTAAAAAATGGCTGCCGTTTACATTTTACAAAGCCAGGTCTAATATAAATTCGCAGTAAGTAACAGAAATATGGATGGATGGTTGGACTTTTTCTCCTACAAGAATTGTTTGTTTTTATTATTAAAACAAGCGATCATTCATATTTTTTTAATAAAATGAATAAATATCACATTCATTTAACCTTCATTGGCGGACTTATTTTTCAGCTCAAGACTTCTTGTTTTTAATGAGAAATTCCCTCTAAATGGGGCTCTCAATGGGGGAAACAGATTTTAATATTATCGTTAAAATTATGGAAATTTCGTTTTAACTTGTTTTAAAGCATAAAATAAAAAGAAAATTTGTCTGTTTGTTGTGTAAGATGTAATTTTATTTCATCTCGTGAACTTTAAAAACAGTATTCTCACTCGTGGCTACGCCACTCGTGAGAATACTGTTTTTAAAGCCCACTCGATGAAATAAAATTTCATCTTACACACAAACAAACAAATATCCTCTATATATGTCAAGATTAGTGCATTTGAATTGAACACTACCCGTCAAAGATAATTACTGATGTGCAAAAACGATAAATGAACAAAATAAAAACCCGGGCAAATTTCGTCCTTTTTGAATTATTCTTCCTGAAGGTAGAGCATAGTCGCCGCTTAGTCCGTTCGTCCGTCCGTCTGTCCGTTCATATATCTATTTGTACGTCCGCATTTTCTTGTCAGGTCATATCTTCATAGGTAGATGGATCTCATTGAGTGTAAATGTAGTACATACTGCAACTCTGCCTTGCGCAATTTTGGAGATATGGCATTTTTTCATTTTTTACTCTTGGAAATTTCCGGGGCATAGCTTTAAAACTCAGCAGGAGGTACCTACAAGAAACTTAATCAGTAGATAGATATCATTGAGTAGATGTGCAGAGCACTAGAACAGTAACTCTGCCTTGTGTAACTTTGGAGTAATTGTCCTTTTTCATTTTTACACTTTGAAATTTGTCCGGTACATAACTCTGAAACCACAAGAGGTATCAACAAGAAACACTTTCTTCATTGCAATATTTAAACAGTGTTAACCTTTTCTCCATCAACTACCCATAACATAATAGTTTTATGCTGAATTTGGTAAACACTTTATGGACATACTACTACTCTGTGCCCAAAACCGGGAGCATCTCTCGGTTCGACCGGCTCTTGTTTGTATCTTCAGTCTCCTTTTGAAAAGACGACCGAAAACAAGAAATATGTACAAAACACTACCTTTTAAGCGTTGTTTTGTATCAGTGCGAAATCAAGCTTTGGTAAATATTAAGTGAATATCAAATGCACTATTTTCAAGTGTGGCAATGTTCAGAACGAAAATAAATTAGGAACTGCTGATAATAATGATGACACGTTTTTCATTTGAAGTATTCCTTTATTTGTCTCTTATTTATGTTATTCTTCTTGAAACGACAGTTAAGCTTTTTTGATAACTGACCTTTATATTATACACTGCTTTTTCATACGCACGTGTGTTATGGATGTGAAACAAGCAAAATATAAGAACAAAGATCAACAACTCAAAGCGACATTTAAAGAAAGCAGCCCCCCACGACAAAGTCAAGTCACACTGGCAACTCAGCTATTAGTAGGGTACCGAAGGAAGAGCAGGAGAGGGAAAAAGGTCAAGATATCAGTTGTTGTAATAAAAAATGACACTTAAAAAGAAGCCCATTAAATGTAAAAAAACAAGAATTAAAGATCAACAAGGTAAAGGCAACGTTCACTGGACGCAGCCACCCCCCGACACATCCAAGTAGGGCACCCAGAAGGCACCAAACAAAAACCTGAATTGGACATAAGGGCAGTGAAAGGAGAGGGACATGTAATGTGTGAAATAATATAAACTAAATCGGACCCATATGGATATTAAAGGGATAAGGGCTGTAAAGGTGAAAAGGGGAGGGGGGAATAGGATGGGGGGGGGGTGAGAAAATACCTACCGTAAACGACAATCCAACACAGTATACATCACAAAAAATGTAAATATTCAAAAACAAGTAACAATACGGACATGACAAACACGTGAAGGAACACAAAGGGACACCGCCTTGGAATGGCCAGTGGTAGTTGAACCACTGTGGAGTTTAAATCGGTTTTAGGCGCGCAAAAACTCATACAAAAACATCTTGAATAGGAAGTGAAATAACACCATTACATAAAATTGTCAAGGAAATAGAAATGACTAATATATAATCTACGTTGAATCCTTTGACAGTTTTACATTTGACTAATAATAGTAAGAATAAATTTGCAACCAGATGTACTTGAAGCACAAGTTTGCAACCAAAATGGGCTTGAACAATATATTTTGTCTTTTAAAACTTTATTTGCAACATGCAAATTTAAACATTTACACGGTACATTGTATAAGCAGATATATATTTTGCCTTGTTTGGTGAACTTTAAAACTTACAGATGTGAATAAATGAGCATAAAAACCATCCTGGATTTTGACTTGTCAAACATGGTAATGACCAGTTTATATCTTCAATAGAAGAATACGAAAATACGCGTCGGTTTTTTTTAAATATTCATGACTCTGAAGCCATTTTGTCAAGTTTGCAACAAATATTCTCGCTTAAACCAAGTGTGCAACACCTTTGCGTCCTGCACCTTGAGAATGAGAAATTATCTGCATATACAAGGCATACTTTTAAGAAAAATAACAATTTTGTTTTAAGTTTTTATTATACACAAAAAAGGAAAATCAATCACCTCTGGGGCTGGATCTGTTTTGACCCTAGGACTTTCATTTGAACAAACATGGTAGACACCCACTAGAAGATGTTTTAAGCACAATATCTAAGCTTTAGCTCTTTTGGATTTTCACAAGAAGATATTTTTAAGTTTTATATATAAGGAAAACCAATGACCGTCTGGGGCGGGGCCAATTTTGACCCTAGGGTTTTTAATTGAACAAACTTGGTAGGTATCTACTAGAAGATATTTCATGCCAAATATCTAAGCTCTAGCTCTTTTGGATTTTCACAAGAAATATTTTTAGTTTTTAATATATATACAAAAATAGGAAAATCAATCACCCCTGGGACCGTGCCAATTTTGACCCTAGGGTTTTCATTTGAACAAACTTGGTAGACATTCATTAGATGTTTCATGCCAAATACATTAGCTCTAGCTCTTTCTTTTATTTTACAAGAAGTTTTTTATAAAAAGGTTTCGGTTGCCATAGCAACCATAGTTCTTCATGAAATTTAATTCTTTGAACAACTTTGGTAGAGATTTACGCAAGAAACATCCTTGCAAAGTTTCAAAAAATTTGGCCGAGTGGTTTAGGAGGAGAAGCACGCACGCATGCATGGACATACGGACGATGGACGACAGACAATAGAACATCACAAAAGCTCACATAGAGGACATTGCCCTCAGGTGAGCTAATAAATACAATGTGCATACAAATTGATTGGACCAAAAGTTATACCAACATTATCTAAGATTAAAGTCCTTTAAATATTATATAATATAACTGTTGGTCACAAGTATATGTATAACATTTGGAAGGGATCGATAACTTAATTATTAAATCATCTGAACTTGTTGTGAATGTTGTGATATGTTTGTTTATTAATTAAATTAAGGAAACAGAAGAATAAAATGGACATATCGAAATATTACTGTCCTAGTTTAGTTGATCTTGTGCATGGACGTACAGGCAAGTGCAAGGTACTATGCAAGGCAACCCTAACTGTTGCACCGACATAAGCAAAATTCAATATGCAAATGGAATTTTAAACATCCGTAAATGCGTTTATACGACACTTTTCTTAGAACCTAGTTAGTTAGTACTATTCCATGAAAACCTACGCAAGTCTCCTTATATCTCTCGCGAATGAATCAAATTTATATTACTCTTTACTATGCTTTATTATAGCAAAACTTAAATATGCCTTTTATGCACTAAAATTCCTGTTTGTCCTTCTTGATCACATTACAGGAATTAACACCCATGACATTATTGTGTTTAAACTAAAACCAATTTTATACACTCTACACTCAGTGACGATCATAGAAAGATTGTGCGTGGAGAACAATAATGTTACCTATTTATCTATCAAGTCTCGTTATATCTGTTCTAAATTGTGAAAAGCAATTTGAATCAATCAGAAATGATGTTAATGTACAGGTACAAAAGTCAATGCAAGCTTTCCTGAGTCCCCGTATATTCAACATATAACATAAAAGTAGTAAAAGTATTTAAACTTTTTTTATTATCTTCTGTCTGTTCAATTTCAGTTTCGGCCACACTCCTCCAAGTTTTGGCATAAGTACAAGACGAAAAGTTCTCACATTGTCAGAACAGGAATGACAAAATGTTACAGAAGGTTTCAGGGAATTTAGTAATTAAGTAAGTTTAGTTAACAAAAAGACTTGTTTCGCACATAAATATCTTGTTTAAGAGAAAAATATATGGTACACTTTTGCACTTGATTATATGCCTATGATTTTATCCCTAATATCATGAAGCGCTAGTACGATTCAACAAATAGAAAAAAAACGTATTCTGTAAATAACAAAAACGGTACCATAAATAGAAGTGCCGAACTATTTTTTCTCTTTGTTTCCCATCTTAGCTATGCATTACAAAGCGTTTGGAAATTTTGCTCATTAGGGCGTAGTCTATTTTGCAAAAATTACGCAATTATCCGTCATTCATTTAAATTAAGTTTTCAATCATCGCACTGAGATGAATTTACTGTCCAGCTTGATCATCTTGTTTGTTTATATTTTGTAATTGTTCGGTATTAATTGAATGCCTCAGTTGTATTGAATCATTTTGTCTAGTATTTATGTTATAATATCTCTGGTTTTTATAGTGTTTTAATCTGTTTGCACTGTAAAATATTTACATTGTTTGTTACATGTTCCACTCCTTTCACCGTTATGTCCACTCCAGGTTATTGACTGGTGCTTTCTGGGTGCCCTACTTGGGTGTGTCGGGAGGCTGCGTCCTATGAGCGTTGCTTTTGCCTTGTTGATCTTTATTCTTGTTTTTTTTTTACAATTCCTTAATTGATAAAATATGCATTTTTCAGCTTTTGTAATGTAATATGGTCCAGTAATTTTGGATATAGTTTCTTTTTTTGAAACTCCTTTTGGAGTCTTTTCAATGCGGACCATAACATTATCCCCTTCTTTAAATGAAGCATCTTTCGCAGTTAAGTCATATCTTTCGTTGTATTAACACGGGCTTAATTGATTCCGAATAAAATTTGGTCCATCGACCATATTGTCATTTTACCTGTTAGTTGATCGTACGATCCATATTTTTCCCTGTTATGAAATAGAAAGGACTATATTTTGTAGAATTGAAAAATGGCGACATGCGCAATGACATGATATATCAATTTATCCCATGTATTTGCTTGCAGAATTATAGAATTAAGCCTTTCGACTGTATTAATGGATGTTGGGTTGTATACATAAATATTTTGCTTAAGTATATAAAATTGCTTACATAAGGCATATACTACCTTTGAACCGAGATTATTTGCATTATTTGCAAATTATTTTGCCTGGTGCCCCAAATCTACTTATTATATGTTCGAAAATTGCTTCCGCTAAAAATTCACTTTCTTAGTTTTGTAATGCTTTTTCTTCGGTCCAATGACAAAAGCTATCTACCATAGTTGAACTGGGCTAGACGTCATTAAACCACACAGGATGTATATGTGCCATTTATAAAAAATGGGTCGATTGATAAGGTTTTTAAAATAAGAGTGTATGTCAATTTTAATAATGTTAGTGATGTGTATTTGATAAGATGGACTACTTTTAACATCTAAGGAAAGAAGGACTTGCGCATAAGGTGATATTTTAATCCGGTTTACTACTTCGTTACTTTAAAACATACATGTATTTTGTTTCTTGAATAGTCTCATATATCAATAAATCATGGTTTTTAAGCACAACGACCAGGAATTATTTGCATATACTATGTATACATTTTTAAGAAATGGTTTATATTACAATTCGTTTTTAATCACACGTGTGAGTACCTATTCATCATATAAAAAGCATATTCCGTATTTACTTTGTAAAACCGACAAAAGACACCATTTTAATATGTAAATCGAGCTTACAATTCAATAATATTTCTTTAGAAAAACGATGATGTTCAACTACAACGTTCGACTGCTTCTTGCCTTTGTGGTTGCGAATTATATCCAGGCATATCAGTTTAACATAAATCTTCCTGATAGCGCGCAATCTGAGATTGAGGCATGCGTCAACAGGTCTAGAGTAAGTTTCAATGTTTTCATGTTTATCAAATAGAGAAAAATGAAATCCATAAAGAACGTCTAAAACGACAAAATTTAAAGTGAGAAAACCTTTTTTTATTCAATGTAAAACAATTGCCTTGAATATTTAATTTTTATTGTTTTATTGTTTGTTACATATACAAAATGAAAAAAACATAAAAATAAGCATTGTTAAAAGAACGGTTTAATAAACTGACTGACTTTAGGCAATTTTTTCTATTACAGCAAAAATATCAAAATATCTTGATTTATAAAAACGGAATATGTAAATATCATATTTAATCATGCAAACCGAAAATGATATAGAAAAAAATTGTAGCATGGTAACACATGATGAATATATAGTGAATATAGCATGTATTCATTAAATCTTTATTACACTGTATTTTTCTACATTGGACTTTTCTCGTATACAATCATATTTGTCCAATGTGGTGATAATTCTTATTGTTGGTTTTAAGAAATCACCAGCAATACAATGGCAGGCAGAAATGGCTTGTGGCCATGAATATTTTGCTAGACTGGGACCAAACAATCTTACAGAAGACGATTGGGCTATTTTCAAAACAGCGACTGATAATATGTATGTATATATATATTTGTCAAAATTCCTAGTTTAGTTTAATACTATTCATTATTTTATTGTATATTTTGTACATGATAATATTACACAATCTAACAGCATTATCTTAATCATAAATACAATAGGGTTTGACCAATAGTTATACCAATATCATCTAAGATCAAAATCTTTTAAATATCAAGACTGTTGATTACAAGAGGGACCGATAACTTATAACATCTGAACTTGTTGTGAATGTTGTGAACTGTTTGTATATTTACCAAATATAGAAAACAGTGTAAAATAGCTAAATTGAAAATGTTACTGGCTTAGTTAAGTTGATCTTGTTAATGGACGTACAGTACAGGCAAGTGCAATATACCATGCAAGTCACCCCACTCTTGCACATAACATAAGCAAAACTCAATATGTAAATGGGTTTTTCAATTTAGAACCATCCACAAATGCGTTATCTTTGGACCTTCAATGCGACACATTAGTACTATGAAAAGCGACGCAAGTCTCCAATTAAAGGAAAATATCTGTGCAATTGGCTGAACTAAATAACATGGAATGTTGAAAAAGGGCGGTCAACTGATTTGAAGCCTGCATACCATAAAAAAAACCTTTCTTTGTTTCCTTTATGAAGAAATATTGAGCATATATTATTTCAAACATCATTTTGTTCTAGACAAGTATTAAAGTACCTATTAATTTTAATCAATCAGATATAATATGCATCGCGAATGAATCAAATCTTTATTTCTATTACTGCTGAACTAAATCTATTATTTTTCGCTTATCTTCCTGTTTGCCCTAAATTGGTACGATAAGAGTACAAAAATTTAAAATCTTAATGGCAATGTTGTGTTTAAAATTTAACCAATTTTTTATACACTCAGTGTCGATAATTTTAAGATTATGCAAACAATATCACAGGTTGAAAAGCTAAAACTTATGTTGTCTATTTATCTATCAAGCCTCGTAATATATTTTCAAAATAGTGAAATGAAATTTGACATCGGAGAAAATGTTTAGATACATGTACAGAGAAATCAATGCAAGTTCTCCTGTGTCCGCGTATATTCAACAAAACACAAAATGTAATATGACTTTTTGAACTTTGTTTCGTTATCTTCTGTCTGTTCAATTTTAGTTTCGGCCACACTCCTCCAAGTTTTGGCATAAGTACAAGACGAGAAGTTCGTACATTGTCAGAAGAGGAATGGCAAAATGTGACAGATGTTTTCGGGGAATTATTCAAAGTAAGTATGATAAGTTATGCTTAGGTCACAAATAAAACGGCGAACGCCAGATTTAACGATTTTTACAACTTATTCGGCTTTGACGATTTCGCGAACGCCGGGCGATTTTAAATCTGATACCTCGCGTGGTCATGTATGAAACTGTCGCCGGGCGGAGTTTTGCCGAAATAATGTTACAGACAGCATTCAAAGACCGGGCGGTCGACGCCAGATGTCCGGACGGCGTCTGTGCGATTTATAGATGAGTCGGACAGTCTCCTCGAAGGCACCGGGCGGTAAAGGCTTGGCATTTTATGATATTCTTTCAAAAACCAGTCAGTGGTCAATATGCCAGGAGAGAAGGCAATTGATATTTACATAATGAAGACCAAGCAAATTATGCAACAAGTGTAGGTTTTCATACATGATCATTAAACAATATACAATGTGGACCTGTGACGAAGTTTGTAAAGCACTTTCTTTTTTATTAGATAACATTTTTGTCAGGTTTGGTAATACAGTTTTCAAACAGGTAATAGGCATTCCAATGGGAACTAATTGTGCCCCCCCCAGATGGCTGATTTATTTCTTTATTGCTATGAGAGGGATTTTATGTTAAGTCTTTCCCCTACTTCGCATCAGGAAATTATACATGCATTAAACAACACTTCCCGCTACCTAGATGATATTTTCAACATAAATAATAATCCTTATTTCGATCAATTGGTTTCTAAAATATATCTCAGTGAACTTAAATTGAATAAAACTAACTCTTTAGACGTTATTACATCTTTTTAGATTTAAACATTTCTATCATTAACAATACTATAGTAACTAAAATCTACGATAAAAGAGATGACTTTGATTTTAATATTGTTAACTACCCACATTTAGATGGAGATGTACCTCATGCTACATGATATGGGGTGTATATTTTTCAATTAATTAGATTTGCTTGGGCGTGCAGTCGTGTTGATGATTTTAATGAACGCAATTTATTTATTACTAACAAACTTCTTAAACAATGTTATCGCTATCATAAATTGCGTAAATATTTTACTAAGTTTTACCATCGTTATTCAGACTTAGTTTTAAAATTTAATTGTAATTTAAAAACTCTTTTTACGACAAGGTATTAGCAGGCCTGACTTCTATGGAGATGTGGTTTACAAACTTCGTAGGCTCATGAGTCATAGTAATTTTTCTGCCGTCTTCACTAAAATTATCAAACGGTTTATTAAAAGAGGTTATGGCCCAATTATTTGAAGGAATAACGCATGCTTTGTGTTCAATCCTTTTACAGTTGGACGCTACGCTTTCCTCTTTTGATTACATCTGACGGGCCAAGTGGGAGACTCTTTGATGGACAGTTCTTAAAGCCCTTTGGGACTGAATTGTCTTAATGTTCGTCTTCTGCCTTGCTTCGTCGGGCCCTTGTAGGTGATTTTCTTGTTGCTCGGCCTTCCTTTAAGGCATCGAGTACTTTGGTAATGGTCATTAGGCTGTAACTTTTTCTACATATTTACATAATTTTGTATGTGTTTTATTTATATCGTCTAATGTAACCATGACCATTGTTAGAATTTCACTTGGCGGGGATTAATTTTATGTACATTTTCGTGTCATTCAGGAACATCTTGGGGCTAAGAGTGAGGTTTGGCGCGCCTAAAACCGGTTTAAACTCCCCAGTGGTTTAACTACCACTGACCGTTCAAAGGCGGTACCCCTTTGTGTTCCTTTACGTGTTTTTCTTGTCTGTATTGTTATTGTTTTTGGATGTTTACATGGTTTGTGATGTCTGTTTTGTTGGAATGTCGTTGTCGGTAGGTATTTTCTCTTCCCCCCCCCCTCCATTTTTACCCCTCCCCTAACTTTTCACCCGTACAGCCCTTTATCCTTTTAATTCCCTTATCGGCCCGTTTTTGTTTATATTATTTCACATTACATGTCCCACTCCTTTCGCCCTAGTGTCCACTCCAGGTTTTTGTTTGGTGCCTTCTGGGTGTTCTACTTGGGTGTGTCCGGGGGCGACGTCCTGTGAACGTTACCTTGGCCTTGTTGATCTTTATTCTTGTTATTTTTCTAATCCTTAATACTAATCCGTGTAGAAGTTCTTGTTCGACTTCAAGCTCATGTTAAATCCATTAGAATTTACAGATACATTTTTAGGCTACAAAAATAATCTCAAGCCGCAATTTCAACAAACTCACGCTGCGACAAAATGATGACCGCCCGGTGCCTGTGCATGGATCGTCCGGGTACCGAACCATACCCGTTCGCCAACTGGTGTATTTTTGGGCACCGGGCGCGCCCTGGGCGATGTCCGCCCGGTGTCAAAAAAGACACAAGTTGGCGAACGGGTATGGTTAAAAAGTCGGACGGTGCTTTTGTATTAAAAACAATCATGCGATCCGAATGTTATCACCCGGGCGCCTCCCGGCGACCGAGCGATCCCCGCAAGATGACTTTTTCAACTCAATGACCCCCAAAATTATCGTCCGGACGCCGTTAGCTTTTAAATAGTACTTAAAACTTGACGGCGCCCGTCCGATGAGCAAAAATTTCAGCTACTGCCTTCCAATTGTCACGGTTGGTGGACGGACATTGGCCGATATTTCGATTTTTCGAATAAAAAGACGCCGCCCGACGGTCGTTTGTGACTTAGTCATTAATAAAGGGACTCTCGTTTAATGAATAATGTTACAAACATTTCGCAATTATTTTATTTGATTGATTTACGTGACCTATTGAAACATTGTATGTATGTATGCATGTATGTATGTATGTATGTATGTATATGTATGTATGTATGTATGTATGTATATGTATATGTATATGTATGTTTGTATGTATGTATGTATGCATGCATGCATGCATGCATGCATGTATGTATGTAAAGCTTGTGATACTATCTTTTATTTCCATGTTTCGCATAAATCGTGATGGTTATTTCAATATGATACAGATATGAACGGCTTTCGAATAAGTATTGGTATCATTTATATGGAACAAATAACAAGAATAAAGATCAACAAGGCAAAGGCAACGTTCACAGGACGCCGCCTTTAAATTACAATTAAATTTTAAAACTAAGTCTGAATTACTATGGTAAAACTTTAGTGATAAGTGGTAATTTATGGTAATTTTAGTGAAGACGGCAGAAAAATTACTATGACTCATGAGCCTACGAAGTTTGTAAACCACATCTCCATAGAAGTCAGGCCTGCTAATACCTTGTCGTAAAAAGAGTTTTTAAATTACAATTAAATTTTAAAACTAAGTCTGAATAACGATGGTAAAACTTAGTAAAATATTTACGCAATTTATGATAGCGATAACCTTGTTTAAGAAGTTTGTTAGTAATAAATAAATTGCGTCCATTAAAATCATCAACACGACTGCACGCCCTAGCAAATCTAATTATTTGAGAAATATACACCCCATATGATGTAGCATGAGGTACATCTCCATCTAAATGTGGTTAGTTAACAATATTAAAATCAAAATCATCTCTTTTATCGTAGATTTTAGTTACTATAGTATTGTTAATGATAGAAATGTTTAAATCTAAAAAAGATGTAATAACGTTTGAAAAGTTAGTTTTATTCAATTTAAGTTCACTGGGATATAATTTAGAAACCAATTGACCGAAATAAGGATTATTAATGTTAAAAATATCATCTAGGTAGCGGGAAGTGTTGTTAAATGCATGTATAATTTCCTGATGCGAAGTAGGGGAAAGACTTAACATAAAATCCCTCTCATAGCAATAAAGAAATAAATCAGCTATCAGGGGGGGGGGGGCACAATTAGTTCCCATTGGAATGCCTATTACCTGTTTGAAAACTGTATGACCAAACCTAACATAAATGTTATCTAAGAGAAATCGTAAGTACTTACAGATGAAGCTTGATAATTCTTAACTTTAAACTTATCTAAAATTTCAGTTGAATTTTTTTAATAGACCAAAACAAATTTTTGCCCGTATTTTCATAAACAGTTTCACAGTATCTAATTACATGTGTCTTGATGGCAGTAAGACAAGAAGTCAATAAGTTAAGTTCATTTTGTAAAACATTTATATAATGAATACGTCATACAATGATTATGTTATTGGCCGCCTTGTCTGCCGGAACTAAAACAAATTTGGAGTGGAACGCTAATATATCCTTTCTGAGATGCCGTAAAGTAAGTCTAGGTTTAGGTGGTAAAAGATGTTCATTATCACGGTAAAATTCGATGCGTGATTCAAAAATATTAAGTATATTATGTTTCCATGAATTAAGTGCATTACTATCAGCATTTTCGCGACACCATTTTACTGAAAAGTCCTCGATCGATTCAGCTACATGTGTATCTGACTTCGACAAGCATTAAAATCAATATCGGAAGGAATTCTATATTTTGGTCCTTTAAGAAATAAATTACGGATTCTCTTGTCGTTTATAATATCAAAATGACCAGTGATTATATGGCCAAAATCCAAGTTACAGAATTTAGAATTTTTTCAGTCTCAACTAGTTGGTGTATTAGACTCAACGTCTAGGTCGGAGACAATTTTGTTATAATTGAATATGATATTTCTGACAGGTGTTTTATATTTATAGCAAATAATTGGAATCTCAGAGTTTTTGAAATATTTAGTAATCGAAACCGCGTGTAAGGATTATATTTCACCGTGTTATTTTGACTATTTTTTATTTACTATCTCTTACTTGCAGGCAGGAGTTCTTCAATCATTTGCACGTTTGCATGGAAAAGCTAAGTTAAGAGCTCACAAGGGAGGTGCGTTTTTACCATGGCACCGAGTCTTCCTTGCTCAGTGAGTGGTCAATTCGTCAACTTCTTTGTATTCTTCTTTATTTTATACAATTACTAAATTTATATAAATATACTTTTAAATTGTAATATTACATTATGAAGACATGAACTGAACTTCAGACAATTTAGTGGTATGAACGATTTCTTTCAATTACAATAAATAATGAACATCTAAATAAACAATACGTACGGATGTATGTCTTTAGACAAACTATTAAAAACCCATTAATCTAAGGTACATGAGGTATATTACAACCAAACTTTCATGATGTTTTCCAAAATCGTGACGGAGAATCGTTTTTGATAATCTTATTGTATATTTTGACGATATTTTAGCTTCGAACAAGAGATGAAGAAGATTAATCCAAGTGTATCCTTACCTTATTGGGACTACACGACTGACTACGAAATTCCCCAACCCTATGAGTCTGTCTTGTGGACACCATGCTTCTTTGGAGAGAACAATGATACTGTCCTATCGGGGCCTTTCAAATTCATGTATGGAGCACATGGTGCTATTATTTCGAGACGACTGGCGGAAAATTTCTACTCTACGAGGCTGATTAACAAAGCTGACATAGAAAGGTTAAAAGACTTTTGTGGATATAAGGTATACCAACACTTATTCTATGACTTTTGGAACGAAATAATAGATATAGTAGGTTAATAAGTACAACTTTTATTTATATTCATTATCATATGTGTTGTTACATACATACACTAAAGAAAGAACTTATATAAGAGTTTCAATACTTAGCAGTTATCATATGTGTTGTTACATATAGACACAAAAGAAAGTACTTATATTTTAGAGTTTCAATACTTAAGTTTTCTATTGACGTCTTTGTTACAAAAGAATATCATTTTATGATGATTATTCAGCAGTCTATGTAAAATATTTCTATATCTTAGGACATAACAACGGGTGCTGTTAAAGAAGAGACAGATCACAATCTTGAAACTCTACACGATAGCGTACATGACTACATTGGAGGAGATATGGGTGTTGTTGAAAACTCGGCATACGATCCGATATTTTGGTTTCATCATGCATTTATTGACTATATATGGGAGTCATTTAGGGAACATCAAACGGCGAAGTAATATGTTATACACTCAAACGAATAAGAACTCAGAATGTTTCGTTTTGTTGCATGATAAAAGTCATACAGAGGTTTTACACCAAGCATCCCTGGCCGCCATTTTGTGAATCATTCCCAATATTATAAGTATATGTTAGTGTTCATCCGTGCTGTTCTACAGAAATAAGAAACTTCGACGGCAGCGATAGCGTAGAACAGCTACGGATGAATACTAACATATTTAGTGTCAAACTTTATTTGGCCTCATAATCACTCACTTTATTACGTCTCTATGCCGTTCTATGAAATACTATGAAAAATAGAAGTCGACTATTAACGGAATTCGATATAGTATCGACTTCTGTTCTACTATGAAAATTAACGCACATAATTTATAAAAAAATACAGCGTTTTCATTGGATGACAAATAAAGTTGGACATTTATTCTTTTAAGTATCCAACATTATTTGCCATCCAATGAAAACGCTGTATTTCATACAAATTCTGTGTGTTAATTTTCATAGAAGAAAACAATTTGATACTATATCAAATTCCGTTCATATCCGCCTTCGATTTGTCATAGTACTTCATAGAACCGCATTTGTAAAAATAGTCGTGACGTAATAAAGGACAAATAAAGATTGACAATAAGTATGTTAGTATTCATCCGTAGCTGTTCTACAGACTCCTGTCGCTATTGCTCCCATTTAAGTTTCTTATTGCTGTAGAACAGCACTGATGAACAATAACATAGATAGATACTAAATAAGACAAAAAACTCTCATAATTTATCATCTATATGAAAACGGATAAAAATCTATTACCTATAAAACATTTATTTTCATTCATCCGACAATATACCAAAATCAGCTGTTTATAGTTGTGAATTATATTATATAGAATATTGATCCACAAAATGGCCGCTACTTTTGGCAAGGGAGGTAAACATGGTTAAAAATAGGAAATCGTCTATTCGTCTGAATTTTTTGAAATAAAACCATGTGTTGCAAGTCAGAATATTTGTTTATCAAACAACAGATACTAGATCTAGCTAAAATTCTACTTAGCACCTGAATAGAAACGTTTTTGCACGATTTTCACACGTTCTATCAAGATAAATATTAAATTGAGAATAAACACGAAACATTATTTTTAAACATTAATGCTTTATGGTGATTTCGTCGCTTTTGTCGCACTGGTATTTAATTGTCATTTTAACATTATGATATTTTGATAGCTACAGTGTATCAAGATGAATTGTTACATAGTACATATAACGAACTGTAAAAACCACAGGAAACTAAGTTTGGTCCAAAACATGAATATATAAATAAATTAAAATATAAATTTGGAAACAGAAAAGACAAAAGGCAGTAATGGGGCACAGAACAATTCACAGAGTAATGTAAAAAATTTTTAAAATATTAATCAAATAGTAGATTACATCTGTCGAAATGTGTACTTTTATCTCAAAGAAAATTTTAAAATAATCAAAATTCACTTAAACTGTTTCCTAAGACATATTTCCTTTATCAGGTTTGTTATGCTCACTACAGTTAATATTTTAAGTATTGAATATTGCTTAAGTCGGTGCTACAAGTCGAGAGTGATATTACAATTGTTTGCTTATCTCAGGAAGGAACGTAAAACGATTCAACATTTGCTATTCATGTATTTAGTATTTTCTGTTGTTGGATCTTTCCCTTTCTTAATATCTAGAAAAAAAGTGATCCCTCGGAAGCATTAATCACAACACAATTACATGAGAATTGCAGACTCGGTTTGATTGAGTCTGTACATGAGGGATAATGAATAAGTGCAACATTCCTCACGTCCCCTAGCACCGGCTTGAGCGGAACCCAATTCTAAACACTTCATAGTGCTGGCATCAATACGTTAATTTTCAATTATGATTCCTTATTTTTGAATTTTAGATGTACCGAAATAGACATTGAGTCCGATTACAGACCAATAAACGATACTGGCTGGGTAAACATCATCAAACAAGGCCCCGAAGACTCAATGTTTGGTTATAGCCACTTGAAAACTAAAGATGGGCTATGGCGAAATTGGACAGATGTCTTTTATACTTATGAGCCCCAACCTGCCTGTGGTGGAACATGCACGGGAGAGTACCTTTACTGTGATAACAAAAATCGATGTTTATCTCGTACAAAAGAAGCATGTAAGAAGCATCTACAGACACGGAATGCACGTGAAGTTGGAGCCAGAGATCCACTTGTACCACAAATCCCCTGTGAATCAGGAACACCTCTCAGAGGTTTGAAAGGTGATGGAAGAACAATGGAAACATCACAAGCTGAATGTGAAAATATTTTGGAAAATGAAAGAGACGGTAAGTAAAATAGTTCGTCATTTTAATTTATTGCTTCATTCTTCAAAGGGTAAAACATTTGATGATATCTAATATAACTTTGACTTACAATATAATTTCTTATTCTCGCTCCAAGGCATTAAGTACAATGAGTAAACGAAACGCAAAATCACTTTCACTGATGAAATAATATAATTTCAACTGTTTTAAGGTAGAAACCTGGCCGGATTTTAAACTGACTGAGTAATCTAGACTTCTGTGACGGACTGGTTAGCTCTTTTTCTCCTTCAGCTTCTAATTTTTGAAGGAATTGGTGATTTAAACGCATGTAACTGTATATAACAATGTAATACTTTTAATTTTAGGGTCCATACACGGAGGCCTTAAACAAGGAGAAACCAAATATTCATGTACAGCTCTTGAACGTTTTATATATGTTTTAATCGGAAGTCTGGTGTGTGTGATAGTTTCAGTCACAACTGTTAAGATAATGAGGCTACGCAAACAGCTAAAGCACGCAAGATATGACAATGTTGATTAGTACAAATTATAAAGCAAAGAAGTAAGGTGCTGTAAAAAATGTTTTTTCGGAGGAAAATGAATCGCAATGTGCAAACTATTTTATGCAACATATATAAATAAATTACTTTAACATTTTGAACTTATTCATATCTGTCTATATCAATAATTATATTTGTACTGCTTGGAAGAATTAAGAATTTGAAGTTTAATCTGCTAACCCTTTCTATGTAGATAAATACTTTTTGCGATAAAGAATGCTAAAAGATAAGAATATACATGTTACATTTTAAATTAAGGATGAACACGTACAATTTAGAACTAAGACGGCAGACACTATGTCATGGTGTAATATTTTTGTATATGAATACCTTTAACAGTCTTTTAGAAAAAGATAAATATTCTAAATAAAGAAGGGAAATAAGTAAGCAAAAATGATTTTCAGAATGAGAATGTTCTTCCCCTTAGAAATGTATTTCAAATTTGATAGTGAAGAAGAGCTATAAGTTTTAAGTGAATATCTTTCTTTTTTTACTAAAACGGTAACCAAGTAATTTAAAGTTAAATATAGGGCATAACTAAGCAAATATAAATTGCAAATGTTACTTTTCCTTTAGAAATGCAATTTAATTTTGAAACTGAACAAACAGAAGTAATTACATTTGACAGACTTTCAGGAAGTGACCGTTGCAAAGGTACAAAAACCGCATTTCTTTAAAAAAAATGAATTGTAGGAGTATCTGCCTCCTTCTTTCATATTAACAAAGAAAAAAAAATCAAGATATAATGGTTTCTGAGAAAATCAGTCTTAACGAAAAGGAGAATTGATGGCAATTATATAACATTGAGAAAATAATCCCTAAAAAGTCAAAAACGCCAAAGTTGAAAATGTTGCAGGCTCGGTTTGATTGAGACTGATCATGGACAGTACTGTCAAGTGCAAACTATCGTCTACGCCCCCTAATACCGACTTAAGCAGAATTCAACATTTAATCATGGTAATGGTGAGAGTTTGAATTAAGAAACATCCGCAGATGTGTTCATACGGTGGTTATCATGGAACTTTCAACGTGACACGTCAGTGCTATTTCATGAAAAGCGGCGTATGGTCCCCAAGTAATAGGAAGCGTGTGCCCGAAATGAAGAAAAAAAAACCACGGCGGCGGAACTAAACAAAATGGAATTTGAAAGAGGATCAGAGGTTAGAAAGCCTGCATATCACATATTAGACGTCAAAAAACAAAGTTAAAAAGCAGGCAGCATATGCTGAGGTTGATTCACTATTATTCAATTAGGATTATTGGAACCACCCAACTAGAAAAGGCCAAATAGTCAGAACTAAGAATACCACAAATACATCAATAATCGTGCTGAACGATCTTTAAGCATCAGAAAGATAACATCTCTGATTGAATGTACGGGGCGACTTTCTACGGCCTTCACACGGCACAAACAACGCTGATGTGGCGATAAAATAGAGAAAATAAGAATCCCTAAAGAAAGTCCAAAACGTCAAAATTGAAAATGTTGTAGGCTCTGTTGTAAGTCATATATGCTCAAGTAATAGTATTGGACTTATATGTCGAATCATGGACTGATTTTATGATATTAGATATTTATTTAATAAAATATTTCAAAATCATATCCTAGCCTTGAAAACTCTACTTTTTTCTTTAATGATTTGTACGTGTAGCACACACACACACACACAAACAACAACAAAATTATTTAACCACTTAACATGGATTTAAAATCACCAATATCTATATAGTATTCCATTACAGAGTTTATTAAAACTCCTACACAGTGATTTCCCCTTTGCTTCGCTACACAGACCGCTGCCATCACATTCTTTTCTATCTCAATTATGGTAAAATAAAATACAGACTAATTATTTTGATTGAGATATATTTTCTTGTAAATATTATTTAATGATATTTTTTTCGCTAATACGAGCGTGAGTCATTATGTAATGCCATATGAAGTATATTTTCTAATATAATTCGTAATTCTTGTGTCTGTGCAAACTATGCTATGATTAAAGCATCTGCTTTCAAATAATTTTAAAATCATGTGTGTTGTCAACCGAGTAAGAATTTTATAGCATCATTATTATTCATTTCTGTGATTATCCTGTCCGTGCTCTGCCTTGCGCCCTGTCTATTTTCGTTTTGGGTCCTCAAGGGCTCCTTGCCGCTGGGTCGTTTGTGGGTTGCGTTCATTGAACGCCGCCTTCCCTCGTTGATCTTGTCTATTATATTTCATGCAAAATATGGCTTTTAAACACTCAGTTAAAAGGGCTTAAATACGACCTTCCATAAAAGATCGAACAAAATTAGGAAAATCTATGCTCGTTAATGTTTATACTAATATTTTGGCAACAATGAAGTATCTTATGCATCGTTTTCGAGGTGGATGCATAAATTCAAAATTGGTAATGAGTCAATTTAAGATGTCTGTGAGTCTGGCAGAAAATGCTCTATAGTTACTGACAAAACAAGCATAATGTCAAGCTTATCGTTGACAAAGATGCCACACTTTCATTAACCCAGATAACCTATATCGCAGAGATATCAAAATGGTCAACTTCAAGTCCCATTCCCCTGTGCCCTTTTACTTTGTGGGCCTATAAATCAATTGTAGTTGATTTCCTTGTCGGTTACTTTCATTTCCTTTTATGTATTATCCTGTCCGTACTCTGCCTTGTGTCCTGTCTTTTTTTGTGAAGGGACCTCCTGGGCTCCTGACCGCTGGTTCTGTTGCTGGTTGTATTTTTAGTTTCAACTTTTTGGCTTTTTCTAGTTGGGTGGTTCCAATATTCCTACTTGAATAATGTTTAATCACCCTTACGAAATGTTGCCTGCTTTTTAACTTTGTCTTTTGACGTCTTATCTGTGATATGCATGCTTCATACCTACCTCTGATTCCCTTTCGAAATTCCATTTTGTTTAGTTCCGACCACGAAAGTGTCGCATTGAAGGCTCCATGAAAACGGACGTATTAACACATCTGCGGATGTTTTTAAATTCAAAATTTTACCTTTTCATGTGCAAATGTTGAATTCTGTTTAAGCCGGTGCTTGGGGGCGTGGACGATAGTTTTGCATTTGACAGTACCGTCCATGAACAAGCTCAATCAAACCGAGCCTTCAACATTTTCAATTTTGCCGTTTTGGGCTTTCTTCTGGGATTCTTATTTTCTCTATTTGATTTCAGCTGATTATGAACAGTAGTGGGATTATAACAGTCCATGCCCCTAGCACCGACTTACGCAGAATTCAACATGTTAACATGAAAATGGTAAAATTTTAAATTTAAAAACAACCACATATGTGGTCATATAGTGGTTATCATTTGGCAACTTTGGTTGTTTTTGCTTTCTTTTAAAGGTCGCAAACAGTTGGCGTAGTTTTAGAAGCATCAAATTCGAAAATAAAATGATAATTTAAAACAAGAAAGGCGACGTTCAATGAAGGCAACCCCCACTTTGAAGTCACGTTTCGTTTACTATGGTCACGAGAAGTTTGTGAAGGCAGTGATTTTAGATTACCATTTGATATACGATTATGCCTATGGCATTGTCTTCTCGTTTGGGCAACACGCATTTTTTTACTTGGGGACCATACACCGCTTTTCATGGCATGGCACTACCGTCACACTGAAGGTTTCATGATAACTGCCATATGAACACATCTGCAGATGTTTCTAAATTCAAAATTTCACAATTTATCTGTGATATGCTGGCTTAATAATCTCCGATCTACTTTCAAAATTACAATTTATTTAGTTCCGTCCATTGTTTTCTCGTTTAGGGTACATGCATTCTCTTACTTTGGAACCATACGCCGCTTTTCATGGAATTGCACTACCGTGTCACATTCAATGTTACATGATGACCGCCATATAGACTCATCAGTGGGTGTTCCTCGTTTTAAAATTTCACCATTTTCGTGTTTAAATATTGTATTTTGCTAAAGCCGGTGCTAGGGGACATGGACAGTAACTTGCACTTTCCAGTACCGTCCATGAACATGCTCAATCAAACCGAGCCTGCAACATTTTCAATATTGCCGTGTTTGGCTTTCTTTGGTGATTTTTTTCTCTATTGTACTATATGTAGTATTGTTCTGTATTTTTATTGAAATCATGATTACGCCGATTCTTATTACCATTTTATAACATTCAATAATTTATTAACTTCAGACACTTTTTAAGTGTTTTTTTAAGCATATGCGTAACCACAAAACCATACCCGGTCGATATATTCTAAGTAATGTGTCGGACTTTATCGGAAGTAAGACGAACTATAAATAAAACTTAGATCTATACTGTCGCAAGTTTCAGGCAGTAAAACATGTAAAAACAATAGCTTGCAACCATCAACAGATTGAGTCAGATTAAAGCCGCAACGTGTTAAATATGTGTCGACTTTTAAGATTCCCAATTAAACAATTTTTTTATTCACATCAACAGTTTTTGTACAGTAATGTTGAATTCTGCTCTGGTACGTGTACATACTTTCTTGTTACAGAAAAGTTTAGGACTGCATTGCATTTCCAAGTTCATGTCCTACCTAAAATTCCTCACTATTATTACTTCTCAGCTTTTCGGTAGACTCTTTAAACACACTTTTAACCCCAACAAGACAAAATACCTTCGGTAGTTTCCGGTGGACCATATTTCGTCCATAATGATTGTTCTCCAAGACTGCTAAAGTGAACCGTACATGATATTGTTCAATGCATCGGACTCAATTCAACAGATTGCATTTTCCATAGGTTAATAAAACAGAGTCTGCAACAGTTTCTTTGCTGTTGTATTATCCTACCTTTCATATTTGCCTTAAAAATTCGTATCCATGAAATATGAACACAAAAATCAACAAGGAAGGGCAAGATTCAAAAAACGCATCCCCAAAAAAACCAGCAACACAGGACCACTGTTTAGGGGCCCAGCAGAACACTTAAGAAAAAAGGACGGCACAAGAGCAAACCACGAACACACATTAAGTATGTTCTACGTGTGTTATGAGTTTCGTTGCGAATATCAATCATTAGTCTATGTAATATATCTACATATATATTTGTGCTATTGAATATTTACAGGCTTCAGAACAGTAAATAGCGTAGTGTCCAATATATTCTAAGGGGCAACGGCCTACTTTTGCCATGAGCAATATGAAAAAAAAATAAAAATGCCATTTTTTTAAATTGGCTTTATTAAGAAAGAATATGTATATTTTACATATATCTAAAGACCATGAGGTATTCAATACGCATAAAAGGAAGAAATAAATCGCAAATATACCAATATCAAATGTCACCAATTTCAACTGAGCATACTCAATATACCCCGATAGTCTAATGGCAAAATTTGTGATATGGGTGAGCAAGCTTCCATATTCGTACCTTGTATGAAGTTTTAGCAAGCTACGCCTCAGCAAACTCGCGAACAAAAAGTTTGTATATATCGAGGTTCATTCAACCATGAATGTCTTGGTTGCATAGATGATTATGACTTCTTAAAAAAATATGTCTCCACGCAGATTCATGCTGATATTCATGAAATTTTAAAAATGTATTCAAAAGTAAAATAACGTGAAATGAGTAAGAAAGTAATTAACACCCTGCAAACGATACTTTATACCCACGTAAATTACCATTAAGAAGTAGAAAATATACAAAATAACCCTTAATGCGTGTCAGAATAATCGTACAGTTTCACTGTAGATATTTCTTTTACCACGAGTTAATGTTTTATTATAGCGATACACTGAAGCGTATCATGTTTCATTGAAAAAAAGCTATTTTAACTCAGTTGCTGTGCGTATATTAAATATGATAAACAAGATCAACAAGGAAAGGCGACATTCAATGAACGCCATAGGTATAGGTTAGTGTTTAATAATAGTTTTATAATACGTACATGTATTAACACAATTAATTGGTTAACCGTGGCGCAGGCACGGGACCAATTATTTTTGTTAATGCGTATTATTAAACATTAACCTATTTAATGATTAACATTATTTTTCAACCAAAAACAAGGACATTTCACATTGTCGCCGATAGCCCCGCCCTTTTGTAGTCTTCACAAAATAGTGCACAAACACATGATGTCCACACCTAGTCAAGTTCCTTATATGTCACATTTAGATAA